TGAACAAAAAATATATCCGTTATTAAACAGACTTCTAAAAATATATTGTTGGTCTCTGTTTCTTTTTATTTAAATTATTTTCTCAGAAGCAAGTTATTTTGAAACTTGGTACAGACTTTGTTTCTTCTCAGTAAATAATGGCACAATACTTGGTAATGATTAAAATTGACAGGAACTTAGTACTGTTAGAAAATAACTGGGAACCTTCTGAAAGTTCTTCCATTTAGAAAGTCAGTCTTCTGCTGTCTGTTTTTCAACCTGTGAAGTTCTAAGCTTTTGAGGTGGGGAAAAGTAAACTCAGGAACTACAGGACACTAGAATATCTTAACAAGTGAGTATTAGTAGGTTTTAAATATTTTGATACAAAACCTTTCAGACTCACATTTTCTCATCTCATTATTTGAGATGGTTTTACTTTTTCCAAATATGCTGGGAAAATCTGTGCTTTTTCTATGTGTATGTAATTTCCCTGAAATATGAGTTCCAGAATTCTGGGGTTTAATAAATTAAATCATATTAATTAATAACAGGAACAGCACAATCAAAAATTGAGGGTCTTTTCATGTGATGATGTTTCATAGAGGAACACATTTGAACTTCCTGAGTGGACTACATTGTATAACAGAATAAAATATCACTAAAGCTATGAATGATACCAGGGCATTAGCCTTTTTAATGGAACTAAATGGCAATGTAAAATGTCCTTTTTATTTTCTCAGATGTCAAACCACTTTAAAGCAGTATAGGTCAACCTCAGAAAAATCAGATCTTTTTACTCAATGCACTTGAATACTGGAATTATATTCAAAATATGCAACATGTTTTGTGCCAAGAAAATGACTCCACAGTATGACCATCTGCAAAGCAGAAAATACTCTCGGGGAGATTTGGAACTCAGCATGTGGTCCTTACTGCAGACAGCACAGTAACTAATTTTACAAGACATCGGCATAACTCTGCACTGATTTTTATCTGAGCCTAGCTAATGAAGCAGGATGTGGCTTAGAAAGGTGTAATGTGTGTCTGTGTCAAATTATTTTCTTATTAGAAAGGAAGCGAATGTAATCACATCCAACTTTTCCAAACTGTGCAATATTTAGCCACGCAGATATATACAGAACTTTTGTTTTTGCCTTCCTTAGGCAAGTGCTTCCATGCACAAGTCAGATGATGGCATGCTCAGCCTAGCAGCAATACCTGGTCCTGGGCTTGATTTGTAGATCAGGTGTTTGTGCTGCTGAGGCATTTTCAAATTTGATTTGCTAAAAAAAAAGGTTATGTCTACCCTGTCTTTCCTAGCAGTGCAAGCTGAAAAGAAGTCTTTAGGCCATACTTGCCACATCACTAGGCTGTCTGGGGAGCTGTCACAGAATCATAGAATGGTTTGGGTTGGAAGGGGCCATAAAGACCATTCAGTTCCAATCCCCTGCCATGGGCAGGGATACCTGTCACTGTACCAGATTGCTCACAGCAATCTGTAAGCAATCTGCCCATCCAAATTGCCCATGCAACCTGGCCCTGAACACTTCCAGGGCTGGGGCATCCACAGTTTCTGTCAAAAACCTATTCCAGTGCTTCACCTTCCTCACAATGGAGAGTTTCTTCCTAATATCTCATCTAAACTTACAGTTTCAGTCTGAAGCCATTCTCCCCATCTAATCACTAAATGCTCTTGTAAAAATCTCTCTTCACCTTTCTTGTAGGTTCCCTTCAGCTGCTGCAGACCATATTAATTCAGTCTAAAGTCTTCACTTCTCAAAGTTGAACAATCCCAATTCTCTCAGCCTCTCCTCATAGGAAAGGTGCTTCATCCCTCTAAACATCTTGGTGGCCCTTGGATAAAATGCATATTGACAGATGTTCAGTTGTCCTTATTCTTCTTATTTTCTTCAAATACTGCTTTTAGACTCCTTAACTCCCACGCAGGAAAAGTACTGTGCCTTCTGTTGCAGGCATGCAAAGAGTTGCTGCCAGGACACTCTGACCTTGATTACACAGAATTGCTCTATGAATATGTTTTCTGAAGTTCCCACCATTTTCACTAAAAGCATTGTTAACGTGAGCCTTGCAGTTGCTTGAATACATTTAGTATTCACAGAGGTTCAAAACCAAAAGACTCCCAGTCTTCCCACAGTATTTGGGAACACTGAGTTATGTAAAACCAAGATATTTTACCAAAAGGAAGACAGCTTGAAATTGTATAGTGCTTTCTTATGGAGTGAGAGGACGTGTAGCCTAGTTGGTTTTTTGTTTGTTTGTTTGTGTAGTAGCGGGGGTGTTTTGTTGGTTGTTTTTGGTGGTGTTGTTTTTTTCTTTTGTTGGTTGGTTTTTTTGTTTGTTAGTTTTTTTTTTTCTTTTTAAGTCTTCTGTGCTCTGCCAAGATGGGGCATGCAAGGAGTAGTCAAGGCTGCCTTGTGAAGCCTTGCCTTGGGCTTCAGACCTTTCACCTAGTTATTTCCTCTCCTATCTCAAGTTCCAGTTTTGATCAACTTGAGGTTGATCCTTGGTCCTTGAATCAGATTAATCTATTGAGTAACACATTTTAATGTCTGGTTATCAGGTGCTGGTAGATAGGAAATGTAGCAGCAAACCTGCTACAAGATCCAACTCTGCCCTAGAAAAATAACAAGATTGCACACATTTTTGTTGAGTGCAGTGACCTGAAAATCCCCTTGTCTTTCTGTAAATTCCATGCTGCCCCGAGAGAGAGAAGATGACGAGGGCAAATAGGAAGAGAAAGGAAATTTTAGACTAATTTATCCCTCAAGCACATATCTCAGAAATGCAAGTCCCTTCTGTGAGAGGCAAAACCTATGAGGTATCTCAATGTACCTGTTGAGCCACTGGAAGAGACAAAGAGGTGACAAGTGTTGATGATGTCTCTGTGAGAGCAACTTGCAGTCAAAATGCCTGGGAAACTAAGACACACCTGGTGAAGCAAGAGGCATGGGTCTGAAAGAGTGAAGTGGGCTGCAGACTGCCACTGGCTTGAACTTCCCATTCTACTACCTCCAAAGGATTTGTTTCAGCAGAAGAAAGAGATGGGAAACCACAAGTTTTCGCTCAGTAGCCAGAAAGGATGACTCTGTAAAAGATGTTGTGTGCTTGTTTATCTTGGGTCAAAGAAAAGCATTTTTAGTGAATTTTTCTTTTGAGAGTTGTACTATTTACTTTTCCCCGGTTACATTTTCAGGAGTAACTCTTGTCTCAGTATTATGGTGATCACTGTGTGATGCTTGCTGTGCTTTATTTCTAAGATGCATCAGACATGTTCTTTTAAACCAACTGCTTTCTACTTGCTCTGTAAGAAAATCTAGCAATTTCTTTAACTAAGACACTTGTTTGGAGTAAAAAAAAAAAGTGAAGGTGAGAACTAAATACAGGTCCTGAACTGTGAGATGGGGTATTGTAGCTGTAATGGTCTGGGTGTATATGCAAGGCAGGGTTTGTAGTGAGAGGCAATTTTATTGAATAAACAGATGTAGGTGGGGGAAAAAAAAGGCATAAGACATGTTACGGAACAAACCACATCTCCTCTAGACCTGAGGAAAAGACAGTGTGCTTGAAAGATTTTTTAACCATCTCTTGCTATAAATCTCACACTTCTTCAAAATGGCAGGACTGTAAACCTGCTTCAAGGTGTGCTCCATTCCCCCACCCACCCATCCCCCAAACCAACAAAACGTGATTCTTTCAGGTGATTCCAGCTTTGAATTGGGTCCAAGCTAAGAGTGCACAAGGCATGACTATATATCAGTTACTGATTGCCATCTGATACAATCTATTGCATTTGCTGAGCCATTATAAGTTGAATGCTGATACGCATGTATGTCATTGTTCTCCTGACTCACTTGTTGATCCTGTGTGTAGTTGAAATATATAGCATATGGCATAAAGTTGATATAATTTATGTCTTTATCTAGATGACGTTTCAAGGTTTTGATTATTTTGGCTGTTCTTTGTCTTGTAGTTCATTGTTTCCCATTCTTTTGCTTTCTGGTCTGTTTTTTTTTGGTTGACTGGTTGGTTGGTCAGTTGGTTAGGTTTTGAGTTTTGGGGGTTTTTGCATAAAGTATGTGTTACTTGCATGGTTTTGGCTCTAAATATAATGTGCTGTTAATTTCAATACATATAAAAAATAGTTAAACAAGGTTGGGAGTCACCTTTGCTCATTCCTTTGAAATCATTCTGTCTTGCCGTGGGACAAGCCTATTCAAGCCTTGTACCTAGTGGTCACAGGGAAGGCATTTGTGTGTACAGGAGCAAATTTTAAACACTGACCAGGATGAACATTCAGATAATAAATTGTTAAATTACTGAAATGAACTGTAAGAATTGTTTGGAGAAGTGTGATTTCAAGAGTTTTTGTGATGTAGAGTTTCTCTTCTATGAAAGGGTAAAGATTCAAATCAGTTTTGGACATACATTTATTTCAGTCAACCTGGGTGCAGTGGGAAGAATGAAGCAATGTTAAAATCTGAAATAAAATATTGTTTTGGGCAATGATTTTTCCCTATAATATAAATGTTAGGTCACTAATAAACTACTCAGACTGTATTGATATAGTATAAATTAAAATGTTGTACATCCCATGTACTGTGTAGAATGTACATATTACCAAAAGTATTTTAGGGTTGTGATACTATCTTAATCCTGGTGGTTTTGCTCTGACTGGAAAAGTGCATAATATAGTAGTAAGAAAAATTATGTTTTCTAACTCTCACATTAAAGAAACACTTTTTTTTAAAGAAGGTGTGAAGCAATGTACAAAAGTGAGACTGGAAAGATGGTATTATGAGCAATATTCTAATTTATAGTGAGAAAAGGTCTTTTTAATAGTGTGAGGAAACATTTTCCTTTTTAGAGGAAATCTAACTGACCTACTAACTATCCTCACTTGTGCACAGAAATATAGCTGAAACTGTTCTCTCTAGTACATTTCAAGTGTAATGAAGAAACCCACACATTCTTTTGCCATAAAGCTTTTTCTGTCTCTTCAGGGAAGCAATCAGTCGTGTTTGTGAAGCCATGCCTGGTGCCAAAAGAGCCTTCAAGAAACGAAAGGTATTTCTTTTTCTTGTAGTCAAGTTGACTGTATTTTCTCTGTACAACACAATGGAGACCAGGCACAGCAGGCAGGTGACTTTAAGGCAGCTTTGAGAATTGCAGATGATTAATCATTTAAAGTATTGGCTGTTTTTACTCACTGTATGTTATCACTTGCCCTTTTCGTCAGGATCTGCTTTTGTACACATCTGGAAATATAAGTACATCTAGGATGAAGATTGTGCCTCTATGTTCCTTCCATAGAAACCTCCTCCTTTTACTTTCTTTCTTTTGTAGATTGCAGGTGGAAGAGTTAAAACCAACAAATGGGATGCCTTTTCATAAAATTCATGAGTAAATTATGAAAATAGGTGCTGGAAGATATAGTTGAAACCCAAAACATATACAGTTTTGAAAGTGACTAGATTTGTTCTTGAAGATAGATATACTGATGTCATCTAATGAGTATGGTAATCACTGATGGAAAGGGCATATGAGGTGATCCTTTGTCCCTCTGCTTTTTCCATAAATGCTTCTGTGCCCAGTGCTGATGGTGAGTCCAGTGTGTACCTGACATCATTATTACCATGCTTTTATTTTCATTTGTGTGCTGGGAGTTAGAGTCTTCATAAAGGGAGAGGAGGAAGCCTTGGCTCAGCTCCTGCACTGATGGCTCTCAACAGTCTCTTCCAGAGGCCTGCTAGCAAAGCTGGGATGTGATGCTATCTCTGAGGGGAGAAGCATAGAAAACAGTTAATTATAGCCCTTGTGTGTGTTCTTGGGCACACGAGGAGAATCCGCAGGTGAAGCAAAAGGTCTGCCTGCTTTCCCAGCTGCTCCACCATCTAGGCAGAATCTCAGCAGAAAGGAACGCAATGAAAAGCCACTTGTTGGCAATGGAGAACCACATCCTGGTAAAATCAGTCATATGTGACAACATGTGTCACAATGTAATTGGAAATTGTCTCAGAAATTAAAGCTATGGCTTCACCTCCACCAAATTTATCTCATTGTCACTTCTTGGTTCTCTGGCTTTTCATTTTAAATTTGAAAGTTAAGACAAAAGTATCTTTCTTCTTGGAAAGCAAAATGACACGAAATGTAGCTGAAAAGTTAAACAGAGTTCCAAGCGCCTAGTGAGACATCTTGCTGTATTACAGGTTTTAAAAGTAATGTGACTTATAAGTTATTGAAAAGAGCAACAGAATTTCAGATAAATGTCAAAGATATGTCTTTTGCTGCTCTGTACATTCATAATGTTTCTGCCACAAGTGGCATATTAATTTGGTTTAGGTGACAGGTACTTCCTGAAGCCAAATTTTCTCACTTTACCTGCACTGTGGATAGGTGATCCTTAGGCATGAATCATTAAGGGAATCATGAAGGATTAAGGAAAGAGAGGATACAAGAATATTCAAAAGAATTTGTTCAAGAATGAAGTTAACGAAGTATTAGCTCTGTAACATGAAAGGGTTGAAATAGCACAACACATGGTCCATAGGAACAGTATGTAAGTAGTGTATTTTTAATCAGTTAAACAGAAGGGAAAGTAGATAAAATTGAATGTATGTAAACTTGCAGGACTACAGAAGCTCAAGTGTTTCTATCCTGCTAGGAACAAAACCATCCAAGCTTGCAGGCAGCTTAGGACAAGTGCAGATATAATGGCAGAAGAACACTGTCTGCAGTCATTGTTTATACCCTAATAAATAGCATGACTATTCACCAGTGCAAGCAGAGCAAGTTAAAGGGCTTGGTCTGTTACTGCTGGGCAGCCTTATTTTTCACAGGCTTTGGTTGCTTGAATGATGCAGCTGCTCTCAAGCAGCTATGTGGTTCCCCATGAAGTCAAAGGTGTAAAGTTTATGAATTTTGCTTTGACAGCATAACTTCTATAGCTGCAATACCTCCTAAGAGCTGGTGAAATGCCTATAAAAGTCATCAATACTGTTACATCCCCTGTATTACATTCTTAGACTTATTATCTGATGATCTTTAGATGCATCTTTTACCCCAGCACAAAGAGGTTTTATTTATCTATATCTGGCTTTTACCTACTCTCAAGTCTACAAGCAAAGTCATAGAATGGCTGGTGTTGAAAGGAACCTTTAGAGATCATCTAGTCCATAATACTCTGTATCCCATTTTGTGAGCATTCCATTGGTATCACTGGAGTCCCACTTTCCATGTGGCAAGGGGTAGAACAGTCAGTAGATGTAGAGCAAACAGAAAATTTAAAGAGTTGAAGCTATTTTTATAGAACAAGCACATCGTCATTTTAAGATATGGATTGAAGGCGTTCATCTTCGTTACCTTACTTGGTCCCTGGGTGAAGTGACACTGGTGCTGTCTGACAAAACCCCTATTTATTTTTTTGGTCAAGAGTAGATGAAGAATTTCTTGGCTATGGTTATTATTCTTATTATTAATAGCAACAGTAGTAGTAGTTGTAGTAGTAGTAGTATAAATGAGAAATAATTTCCAGAGGAAAACAGCTGTTGCAATTCAATGATCTTTGAAAAGTCATAAAATTCTTAGAAGCCTTTAAGATCACCACTAACCCTGCATACAATGAAGGTCATTCAAAAAAAAAAAAAAAAAAAAATCAAAGAACAAAAATCTGCTTTTTCCCCCCCTCCTCACAGCCACCAAGCAAAGTCCTTTCTAGCATCTTGGGAAAGAGCAATCTTCAGTTTGCAGGAATGAGCATAATGTTGAATATCTCCACCAGCAGCTTAAATCTAATGAATCCTGATACAAAACAGGTGAGTGTAACTTCTGTATTAACTTGTGAGGCTTTTGATGAACAGCCTGCTGCACAATTATTTGCTGTCTGCCAAATACTCAGTTATTATTCCTCAATAATGTCATAAAATGAATGAACCCAAAATATAATCACAGTGGAAGTCAGTTTATTTCACTATTCAACACAACTTTAATAAATTATTTTCTTCTTGTCATGTTTCAGGTAGATTGGTTTCGCTCTTACAAGACCTGTGATGTGAAATACCATTATCTGGTTGTGGGAGTTCTTATTGAATAAAATGAAAAACTTTCAGAGTCATAAAAAGGGTGTGCTTGGAGCAACAACTAAAATACTGAATGTGCACCCTCAATTTTGTTGTTTTCTTCCCATTTAGATTATTTAAGGGCAAACTGTTACTAAGGCGCTGCCAAAAATACAACCTCAGGGATTTTGCAGTGCAATGAAAGGCCAGACTTTTAGAGAGACAAGGCAGCCTTTTTAAAGTAGCTAATTTCTTCTTTGCTGTGCTGAAGATACAGACAGACTTTGGGGAATCACTGCAGTGGTTTGTGAATGATGTATGAAATGAGAAAAATCTTTGCTCAGGGTGTATATAAAAAGGAAGCAGACAGATATGTGTAGTCACTGCTGTGCTATTTGCTGTGAACCACATATTGCATTAGGGCATGCAACTTTCTGCCCAGATACAGACAGAGAGAAAAAAAGTAAAATTCCGACTGTCCTTTGGGGCCTCAGCGTTAAAAATAAGAAAAAAACCATATATACAATTGTTTATTAAAAAGCTTACTGTTCGTTACTATGTTTTCATTCATATATCTTCATTCTTATGCTTATTTAGAAAGCATCACAATCCTCTGCAGTGAGCACTGAGACTGGGGGAGCAGGACCATGACTGGCTGCAGTAGCCTGTAGCCTTATTATGGAATATACAGAGCAGTGCTTTTCATAAGGACACTTACTCCCCATCAGAAGCATAAGAACTCAATGTTAGTTAGCTCTACTAAGGAAGTGCCAAACCTTGAAAGTCAGCTTGCTTGTCAGTAGCCAATGGCAGGGCAGAAATGAAGTTAAAATCATTTATTTCAAAGTGTCATCCTCTACATGTTTTCTCTGAATTAACAAAACTGTTCATCTTACGCTTATATCACTCTTTTTGAAGTAGACACCTCTGGGTGCTGCAGGCCTGGGAAATGTCTGGTTTCTCAGAGATCCATAGCCTGGCTGCAGCCTCCCCTGTTTCTTGATCATGCCAAGGATTTGATTTGGAGATAAGCATGGCCTAGCAGCTTTGCCCTTTGAGGCCCCACACAGGAGGATGGCTGCAAACTTCTGTAGTAGCATCCTTTTCCCGGCAGATCTTGAAGGAAAGAAAAGACAAGTCAGGATTGTTGGCCCTTGTGGTAGAAGGAAAGCAACTGCATGTACCCCTGCACAACAGTTCTGTGAACATATTAACCAGTGATGAATGGAGCATGATTCTGTTTTGCCTGTTTCTTTAAAATGAAGGTTGGTGTAGATTAAAAGGTTTCTTAACTGTATGCTGACATTAGTGAATTTTTGTGTTTCAAGCAATGCAAGGCATTAATAGTTCGTTGTATCTTTTTTCAGTATTTTGATATGGGTAGAGGTGAGGTGGGGAATACCCCTACTTCAGACTAAATTAGCTGTGGAATTAAAAAAAAGCCTGACCTAAACTAATGATTTTAAGCACCTTTCAACTTCCTCAAAATTTGGGAAAAAAATAGTTTAGTGACAATATTAAATAATTTTTCTTTTACATGCTGAAATAAATTATTAGGTTATTTGCACAAGTCAAGATAGTGATAGTATGAAATTGCATAACAGAACTTTACTACTTCAGTTCTACTGTTAGGATAATCTACATTCTATATGTATAGATAGAATGCATATATGTACTATATATTCTATAAGGGAGAAAAGAGAAAGAAATCCTCACTGCTGAGTAGCAGAACACTAATTTACAAGTGCACACTTAAAAACTAACCACATCTTTGGAGGCTGTTGTGGGACAAGCAGGGCTATTGAAAATGAAGTGCTCTTTATATAAAAGAATCATTACAAATAGTAGTCACCTCTTGCTGACTTAGTGAAGCAGCAAGATCCAGAGAAACTTCTATCAGACTTTTTTCTTTCTAATGAAGGTAGCTGATAGTTCAGGTCTTTAAGAAGCAGGTTAGGGGAAACAGCACAAATAATATTTTTCTAGCCCATTTTTTTTTCCAGAATGGTTTTTCTTATGTGGTTCCCTCTCCAAAGTGAAGAATCAAGATCCTAATTCCTATTGTCAGGTGCTCTGAAGCACTTAACAATGGCCCAGATGAATTCCTTGGCATGGCTTCTGTGGCTCAAATATCAAGAGAAAATTTCTTTCAAATGACCTTTTCTTTCTTGGTTGTTACATGATTTCATTATTAAAAGATTTTGTAAGTTGATTCTCAGAATAGTAGACATGTTCTGCTTTTATAAGAGGTTCAGGACAAATTGTCTTTTCCCAGAGAAATATCATATTAGTTCAAATCGTACATAAGCAATTTGAATTTCAAATGCCCTGGAGTGTGCCTGTGAATTTGTCCACAATGCTACACTGCAGCTAGATTCAAAATTCTGTTTGCATATTGTAAACATGTTGATGTTTGAAGCATACAATGACACCGTAGGTGTTGGATGCAATGTTAGGAGCCTTACCTGCTGTAGAGGTTGGCATTTTTTGGTTTCATTGATTTCACCAGAAGTGGCTTCGGCAGAAAAATGGTTTAATGAATAGGACCTTTTGTTTCATTCATCGTTATCTGTAATAAAGAAAGTAAGTATTAGCAGATTAAAATTTCTCCAAAGACACTCTCCAACAGGTCTGTATGATTTACTAGAGATCTGAGTATATTTAGCAAGCTTGCAGTGTCCTGTTACATTTTAAAGAACACCAGAATACTAATTTTATCCTTAAGTTTGTTTATATTATCATGCTACTCTTTGAAATCCTTGTAGGTAATTTTGATCTTGATTTCGGATTTTCACCAGCCTAAAGCAAAAACCAGAAATCAGAATTGCAAACTGTAAGAAACCCATCTGACTCACACTTATTCTTTCTGATCCATACAGATCATAGCAAATCACCATATGCAATCTATCTCCTTTGCATCTGGAGGTGACCCGGTAAGCATTTCTGTAAAGCCTTCTCCCACATAGAAACTGCTTTACGAGGGCTGTGTGACAAAATGTAAAGCATATCTCACTGAAAGAAAAATACAACCACCATGGCTCCTGTTTCTTCTTTCATGAATTTTTCTTGATTGTTGCCATCAAGCTCTCTTTGAGGGGAATGGCTGACAGGCGTTCATGGATCCTCCCCTTTGAATGACTGTAACAAAAATTATTAAGGGGCTGTAAGCATTCATACAGTAACTGATAAGCAGGGCTTTGTTTTTCAGAGAAATGTAGAATAGTTATATGGGCATTGTATGGATTTTTATCCTATTATTTATCTTGCACTTTTTACAGTAATAGAATATGTTGCAGCTATATTTATAGCATTTATAGTTATGTATGCTTTTCTTTTTCTTTTTTTTTTTTTTTATTTTCTCCTCAACTGTAAGTGTGAATTGAGAAGACTGTGCTAAATTCTGCCTGCAGGTATATTTGTTACAGTCATGCAGCTTGAAGACAAACTTTCAGGAAAAGCACAGCTCTTTCTTTCCTGTTTTGCAAAGCTTTTAGATACACCTACAAATTTTTGTTTTCATTTAGATCAAAGGGCAGATTCCTACTTACTGTGTTTTTCATTATTTTTGTAACCGTTTATCTAAAGGTATATTAGTAAATGGACTTCAAAAGTATTTGCCACTCAGGAAGCAAGGGGAAATTTATAAATTAGTGAGAGTGCTCACCTCTTAGAGGTTTGAAAGCTTTTAAACTTAGATTAATTGAATAAACACCTTTTTCTCTACCATGTGATTATCTGTCCTATATCAGTCATGTACTACAAGTAAGTAAATTTCTAGCCTGCTTTGTGAAATAATTCTCTCAGTTCAATTCTGTTAAGGTGAAGATGTTTGGTGCTTTCTCTGCTCATTATGTTTTTATCAGAAAACATAAAGACAAATTCTAGTCTTAGTATAGCTTTGCTGAGCTCAGTACAATTGCAGAAAGGAAAAGGACACAATATCACAATAATTTGGGGAATAAAAAATGGATCAACAGCAGCTTGGAAACACAACAGATTGCAATGCATGCTGTAAATGAACAATTCTTGAAGTGGGCAGAGGAGTGATTAGCACAGTTCCCTGCCTCCATAAGAAGATTCTTTGCTGCCCATCTGCCATCCCAAATGCTAGGTCCTGGAAACACCACTTCACACTGCCCACTGATAAAATGATTTACCAGGAAAGAGGAGAGGAACAGCAGTAGAGTTCTGGATTTGGAGTAAACAAGCTCATCCAAACGTTTTGGAGAGATAAAATCTCACTACTGAGCCAGTGAGCTACCAGAGAAATAAAATTGCATGGTGCAAGGGAGTCTACAAGGTACAGTGAAACTATGAACTTGTGTTCCCAATAAGACTACTGCATGGATTAATTCTGGTGTTGGGAGGAAGAAAGTAGGTATGAGTATCTAATGTTTATCTACAAGCTTATCTCTGGCCTAGTAAGAAACAATTTTAACTCAAAACCAAAAAGCAGCTAGTTCCTTTGTCCTGGGTACGTGTAGAAGATGACAAAATGCAAGGATGTGATTTAGCTCACAGCTCATAGCTTTATTTACTCATCAGAGAGTCATCTAGATATAACTTTCATCAGCCCTTTATGATTTCTACTTGGCAGTGGACTTCCACCACCGAACTGCATCTCCCAACCACAGCTGGCTTCCAGACCATAAATTTATCTCTTTAGATAACTTTTAAACAGGTTGGAGAAAGGCCATAGTGACCTAGAAGCTAGATATGTGCCCATGTTTCTTCAGGAAGTGATTCCCTTATTTTGAAGTTATTTTAGAGTTTGGTTTATTAGGAGGTGAGACTACTCTCACTTTTTTATCCGCTCAATATTTCTGCTCTGGATATCTGTCTCCCATTTGTCATAGCAGTTAGGGTTACAACCTTCCTCCCACTCTCTTACCCTTAATTATATTATTCAAAATATAACCCCTTGAGAAGTGTTCCACAGTCCTGGAGAAAGGTTTGAATATATATTTTTGCAATAGTCCCCTTTGCAATGAGTCGGTTTCTGGCTGTGTCAGAATATGGGAGCTTAAAAATCTCTATACCAAATTCTTTTACGTGCCATTTCAGAACCATTTTTATTTCACTTCTAGGGCTGTGTTCTCAATCTGCTTTAGTTCTCTTCAGCCACTCCTATGATACTCTAAACAATTTTGCTCCACAGTAATTTCAGGTGGCTGTTTCCAGGCTGCCAGAGAAGACATCTGTTTTTTGTAGATATCTGCTGAAATTTTGGAGTGGAGGATGTCATAAAGTCTAATAAATCAAGTCTAATAAGGCAGGTTTCTCAGAGGTCCCTGAAGGCAGTAGTCTTTCAGTTTCAGCAATATCTCCAAATTTTAACACCACAATGCAATGTCTTTAGGTTTAAAATTATATCTCATTCATACTTGTTTCCAGTCCTTGAATGTCAAAGATCACTTTGTTGCATCAGCCAAGTCCTGTATAGTTTTTGGATGAGGGTCTTCTAACTTAGCCACAACTGAAACGTGCCCATCTTAGGTCCTTAATTGTTTCTCTTAGTCAGCTTGAATCTCAGAGCTTTAAATGAAATAAGGAGTAGGTGTTTTCAGACTGTCACACCCACACTGGCTATGAGACCTATGATTTACTCAGGCATAAATGTATCCATTAGCTATGCCTAAAGTAGTAAATAAATTGATCTGTAGCCCATTTTCTAGTCTTTCTGGCCCTGAAATAAATAACACAGTGCAATTTGCACCCACACATTCACTCTCTTCCCTTGTAGTGGTCTCTTGGGATTGTTGCCAAGCATGTGCTGGTCCCTCAGAGATTTTCAGAGCATGCTGTGAGAAACTAGTACAGTGAGATGAGGGCTCTGTGTTATTTGCTATTATAGACAGAGTTACCTTTGTTTTCCCCTTACTTGTTGATATGCATCCTTATTTCCACTGTAGTCACTGCCCAGACACTGTGCCACAGGATGTGTAAGAAATTACAAACAAAATGGTAGGGCTATGCTTTTTTAACAGACCAACCTCGCTGCTGCTGTGTCTGAGTGCCTTCCAACGATGCATTATGTGACATGGTTACACATCTGTCACCAGAACCCATGACTGTGCTTCATCATGTCCCTTGCTCTCTCCTCAGGAAGGAAATTGTGTAGACATTCTGTACAGTGATTTGTTTTGGGTGGTTGCTGGTGGTGTGTGCTTGCACTACAAAAAGCCACGCTAAAGAACTCTATCTTTTAACTGAAGACTGATGTTTATTAGGACATTAGACCTCGGCATAATTGGCAACGATCTTGGATCAGTCACCTGAAAAGGCTTTGGGTAGATTTACACAGCCAGCTGTAATGTATCCTGTGTATCCCTTGGGTTTAGCATACCTGACTAGCCAGGCATGTCAGGAAATACCAGGTCTAACCAGGACTTCCTGATTACATCAAGGCAATATGGCATTTTTCAGATTTATCATCAGGCCTAAGTGTTTCCCAGAAACCCAGGTGTTTCTGTTTCATCTGCGTAATAATAGAAGTCTGCACCATTTGTGCACAGGAGCATTGGGGTGGCAGCAGAGGAAGAAAAGGCTCCCACAAGAAGATATCTGTGTGCTCTTGCCAGAAAATTCACCAGGCATGTGGCAAAAGGCGTGTCAGGGAGCAGCCTAAGGGCTGGGGGAGGCTGTGCAGGGACACTGCTTGTCAGGGCCAAGCAGCGGCTGAGCACCTCTGTGCCATGTGGCACTGCAGTCAGTAAAGTAAACACCTGCTTGTCACACATGAATAAATGCCATTGCTCAGTATTTCTGAGGAGCAGTGCTGTTACTCCCACTCTTTCTGCCACAGAACCAGATGATTATTCATGTTATGAACCAAAAATCTCTGGGTAGTTTGAAGATAAGTACTTGTAATTCTATTCCCTCCTAAATGAGGCCTGGGCCAAATCATACTGAGTTTGTTTAATTGATAGAAGAGATTTTAAAATTCTGCTGGATTAGATAACATTCTGTAAAAAGGAAAGTGATGTCATGAGTACCAAAACCCATAAACTTCTATATGGGGCTTAAGTAATATGTATCTGTAAAGAAAAATATGTCATTTGTGGCTCTGCCCACAGGACTGTACCTACTGTGGACTGTGATCTTTTGCTGTAATCAGTGCAAATATGTTTTTCATTCACTGTAGGTATCTTAATTTTTTGACAGGATACTTCAGACTATATTGCATATGTAGCTAAGGATCCTGTTAATCGTAGAGGTAAGTTATAAATACCTATTTTAAGTCTGTTTTTCCTTTGAGGAACACTAGTTATTCATGGTTTAGGTCAGATTCCACCCCCATGCCTCACCTCCCTCCTGGAAAACATAAATGTAGCATGCAGCCCAATCAAAGGATGGCCTCTGACAGAGCCATGGAAAGATTGCGTAACAATAAGAAGCAGCAGTTTCTTTCTCTTTGAATAAATAGGTCTTCCCACTAGTTCATACCCAAACATCACTTTGATTCTCTTCATCTCGGAAATCAAACACTTGCCTTAGGTGGCTGTGTGAGCTTCTAGGCAACAGCCAAGTGTTCCCTACCCCCAGTCACTGTGCAAGAGCTAGGCAGTCTTCTGATTCAGTCATCTGATGAGGCAGCTGTATCTGTTAGGTCTTCCCAGTACATGCCTAAGTCTTCCTGGCAGAATCAGATTCTTTATCAAATAACTAGCTTTACAGCCAGCTTGATGTAATTCTCTCTTTCAGTAAAGTTTTATTCAAGGTCGTATTGCTTTAGTAGCAATCGGTCAGGGACAGGGACCTGCTTGTCAATTGTATTCACTAAGTCTTAATGCAACATACAAAATGTTTTGTAATGTACCAGAGAATCTATTTACAATTCATAGGTCATAGAGAGAGAAGAACAGACTCTCCCCCCAAAAAATGACATTAAGTACTTCTAACAGGATTTCTGGAGAGTTCACTTTAACTCCAAAATGCCAATCCTGCAAACCCTCAGCTGCCCACTTTGCCATTGGCACAATAGACCCAGTAGCTTCCATATGTAGTAATCTTTAATGATACCTGAAGAATCTGCTGTGTCCATGTGCAGAGATGTCCAGACTTGAGGGTATTTCCTCATAAGCAATATCTGCACTAAGCATATTTCACTAAGTGAAATGCCTAGAAACCTTAAAGGGAATGGGAGGTATGGAATAGTCCCATTTTTTGCAATGCTTTTTCCGTTATAACATCACGTGTCCCCTGTTGGAGAGGCTCCAGTGTCAGACTGTGGAATGCACGGTGCAGAGCTGCTTTCCAGCCCACCTGCTTTAGCCGTACACTTCTGCTAAACCCAAGACTGATTTAGTTGTTCTGAGATCTCAGTCAGAGCAGGGACTAGCACTGTAGCCCAGATATTTGCTCTGTAGGGTTCAGAGGAGCCCTGTGCTCTGTCTTCTGTTGTGTTACTTCTGCACTATGTTCTTGCTGTACTATGTTCCTTCTATCTTACATCCTTAGCTTCCTGTGACTGTTCCTTATTGAGCTAGGCTATCCTAGACTGAGAAGTCATCTGTGCACCTATTTTGTTGTTTTCCTTTGGTGTATTCAGGTCAAGTAATTTCTTAGTTTTCTTTATACAAAGATTGACTGTAGCATTCCAGCTGCAGTGCAAATCCTCCATTCTTCAGATAATTTCTCTACCTTCTTCCTTCATTTTCCCTTTAAAAAGCTATATGATACCTGCATAACAGGGACTGCAACTACAGTAGAGACTGCACCTTCCTATTTTTCCTTCCTTTTGTCCTCGTCATCAGCTGGTTCCTTCTAAGCCCTTTTTGCTGCAGTGAAAGCACTGTTACCTTGTGCGAAATTCTTTCATGCTGTGATCTTTAAACCTTCAGCATTATGGCTTTCCCATGGGTGCTTCCCCCACTCATCTGTATACATCACTGGTTTGCAGATCAGTGACTTTGTATGTCACCTGTATTAAAACACATTCTTTAAAAGGGTCTAATTTACCAAGGGACCTGAATTGCCATCTTTCACCATCACTTGCCATTCTGTCATTCTTTGTGTTGTCTGCAAATTACTTTAAAAGGGAATCTGTCCTTACATCCGTATCTAGCAAAAATGTCACTGCTGCTGTTACTGATGCTACCCTACCACCAATGCTGTAGTATAGCTTGCATATTAGACTCATTTCTTCACAAGGATGGAAAAGCTGTCTTCGTGCTTTGCATTCTGGATCTAGCAAGCTCAAGGCTGTCTATTTTCTGCTGTAACATTCACAAGAAATCATCTCTGTGTGAGCCAAACCTTTTATAAGAAGCATATCTCCTACCTGCTGAAAGTCCATTCACGTATCCAAGGAAACAGGTTACTCATTATGTCACCTACTGAAACTACTTAATGACTCATGCTTCATTTCAGCTCCAGAAAGGTTTAGCAATGAGCGATATCGCCTCCTTAAATTTGCACTCTAGTTATAGAGTGCAAACATTTTAGCTTTGTTTGGCCTAACTACTTTTGCTCCATGTTTTCAGAGATAAATGTTAACCTTCCATGAGGGCAGATTGTTCAATGCCAATAGCAGTGTTGCAGAGGGCATAAAAAAAAACCCAAAAAAACCAACACCTCACTGCTAGTCAGGGATGTCTGCCTCCATCTTTGGACACATGGAGGTCCTGTTTTTGTTTTCTGAATCCACTTTCAACATGTAACTGGACAAAGCATTTCAGCTTGCTGGTTGGCACAGCAGATGCTCTAAGGTGAGCAGAGAACACCACTGTATCTGTTTGGCACTGTGACTGGTGCCCTCTCAGGCTGAATGAGGTGCTGCTGCTGCTGCAGAAGAGACAGCAGACATTCCATACTAGCACATGTTCAGGTTTCTTTATTTTGACCCTTTATTTTGGCCTCTTTAGAAGTCTATCCAATATTTCAGCCTCTGAAAAAGGTATAAACCATAAACTAAAGTCATAACCCATAAACTGAGCCTATGTAGTCTCCCTGTATTGCTTTAACGAAATGTCACGATCAACCCTTGTTTGTAGTACACTGGCATCCAATACACTTGGTTCCTGTGAGTTGGACACTGGGCGTGTACTAAAATGTAGTTTTTCAGCTGAAGAGTTTATATTCAGGTTATTAAAACAATCAGGGATGAGCAAATCAGTAACTTTAAGCAAGAATCCACTTTTCTGTGGCAGGACCTGGAAAAGAACTAATTTGAAATCCAGACTATAGCCAGTATACAATATGCTTGTCCAGCTCTGAGTGTGGAAAATTAACTCACCTGGGCTTCTCTGTATATCACTGAGATGCTGTTCATTGAGATCTTTACCTTCCACCCCTTAGCACCCATCAGTGCTGCTGCAATGTTGAGTAAGCTCTTCACAAGTTCACCTCTTTGTGTTTTCACATGTGATGAGACCTCCAAGCCATTCTCTGATTTAAAACCAGGACAGATTTGTCTGCTTAGAAAGCTGATAAAGGCTTCTTAGTCTTTATAGGAGGAGAGCTTGTGTTGCTGCCCTCCCCCTTTACTGCTACAGTGGGTGTAGAGAAGCTGCACATGGGGAAGAGCTGGAACTAATCAGGTTGTGGGCTCTGGACTCTTCAGCAGCCCCGCAGTTTGCTAGGAGTGTCTCCATGCAAACAAGCAGGAAAAGGTACCAACTTCCATATTCCTGGAATAAGATCAGGGCTCATTATCTAGAAAGTATCTGTGGACACTGCTCCTCCCTCAGACTGTAATCTGGGAGAAGAGAGAAGCTTGTGGACTTGGGGGGATTAGACATAACAGTAAAGTAATTAAACTGAGGAAAAACAAAGCTTTTGTTGTTATTACCATCTATTAATATTTTTGTAATTTCAATTTAAAGCTTAGAATTCTTACATAATATATTGCATTCAGGTAATAATAAGTGAAATTTTATGAGTTTTTTTCTGTTCATGGACTTGTTAAAATAGTGGCACAATTTGTGACCTTGTCTATAGCAGTTACACATCAGTCCAATTTTGTATACCCTTTAAAAACTTGTGATTGCCTGAAACTCACTGTATCAGAATCGGGTTTTACTGAAATGAGCACATCACTAATAGAGCAACTAAGCTTGACATGTAGGTGTTTTGTCATAGGTCATTGCATCCCACCATGACATAAACAGTGATTTGCATGTGCCAATCCTTTTCATTTAGCTTGTCATATACTGGAATGCTGTGATGGCCTGGCCCAGGATGTCATCAGCACCATAGGGCAAGCATTCGAGCTTCGATTTAAGCAGTACATGCAATGCCCCTCTAAGACACCTACTTTATCTGATAGGTAAGTGCAATAGCTTTCAATTTACTTGATAAAATTAGGACAATGTTGCTTGGCACAGACAGGACTTTGAATACTTAAAAAGGATCTCTGCTGTATTAGCAAAACCTAATGAACATGAAAGAAGTAGTCAAAGATAGGATAAATATAGATTTTACAATGATGTTAAATGTTCATGTGTTCTGTGTTGTAGTTAGTAGGCAGAGATGGATGGCCAAGAATGATTGTTATTTGTGGCATTTCCTCATTACTGTCATAGCAGTTGTGTCAGCTTAGATGGAGTAGGTCAGACTGCTGGGATTCTAAAATGACTAATGATATTTCAGTATTTCTTCTATTAGGGTGATGTTTCTAGGAATGTGATGTATTGCAGTGAGGTTTGACTGCACTGATATCTGGAGGATACAAACTCTCCTTGTATATTTCAAAAGGCTGGGATATAGGATTCTATTTTCTTTAGAGACATGGATTGCTATGTGTTTACTAACATTAGTAGAAACCCTAGTGAACTTTTACCACCTATAATTTCTTATATCAGAGCAAAAACAGGTGTATAGGGAATATACAGTACTACTATCCTAATCTGGAAGAATGCAATATTCACATCTCTTGATGTGAATTTGTGAGGTTCTTGCAGAATTACATTGGTGACAGAGCAGTCATTACTAAAGACAAAGATTTAGAGACTTGTCAAATCAATCAAGTCATAACATTACAAGTGCTATTTTAAGGTTAGATAAAGTTTGTTAGTGCAGTTTAGAATGGTCTTTAAAGCCAAATTCAAACATACTATTCTCAATATAAATAATTTGGTCCATTGCAAAGGAGGTTTATGTCAGTTTGTCCAAACAGAGAAAATTTGCCACATGATCCATCATTGCTTCCTGACTTACAGTGGTAGCTGAAGTGTGTATGCAATATGCAGTAGTGATCCCCTGACAGGCAGTCTTAACCTGCTGAAAGTGTCCGTAAGTGCATTACAAGCGAGAGGCAAAAGAAAGCACTCTCTTCCTTATAGGATGCAGAGTTTTGAGGACCCATGGACGGAGGAAGATAACGAGGCACCAGAGCATCCCTATTACAACAACATCCCAAATAAAATACCTCCCCCTGGCGGATTCCTTGATGCCAGACTCAAAACAAGGCTTCCCACTGCTGCAGACACACCTCAGGTCAGTATAATTTCATTTCTACTCTCCTGTTATTTTGTCCAAAATTTTTAAAATACACGTGTTTTATGGTGGATACCTTGGGACTGTCTATAATTCAAGCCTTTCCTGTGTGGGCAGTTTCCATCTGAATGGCCATTGCAGATTGAGGGGCCAACACATTAGGCAGGTTCAAAACAAATTAAAGGAGGTGAAATCCTCATGGTATTAAAAGATTAACTGGGTTCAAGGAACAGAAATCCACTGGGGGCTACTACATTTGCAGAAACCATGTCTGCTTCAGAGAGTATCAAATAGAGCACATTAGCTGGGAATGATTTAATGCAGAATCATTTAAACAATCTAGTGCAGCCATTACTAACAGTTCATTATATTAATGACCTGGGAGTGATCAGTATTCAGCCAGGTTCCTGGGTAGGTTTTCCAACTCATGTTGAACTTAGGTCAGTTTGAATATTTCTACCAGCACTCCTGTTGAAAATTTGACTGCAGTATCAGTGTAGCCTCCTAAAAAGTGTTTTCAGATCCAGCACAATTTTGCTTAAGTCCAGAGGAGTCCTGTCTCTAGCCAACATCCTTCCCTCAGTGCCCAAGTGCATCCCCTGGTACCACAGTGAATCTTTCAGCTTATGGTGTGAAGAGTGTTGGGGCTGTCTTCTGGTCTCATGTGTGTTTCTGTGGAACATTTTTCCCAGTAACAGTTTGTCAAGACTCGCTGTGTGAGTACAAAATAAAGAAGTGATGCATCATTTGGTATCCTGGGGGTCACTAAAAGCAGAAACCAGGGAAGAACACCTGAAGGTTGCTGGTAATATCTTACTCTTAAAAAAATGTATTTGGGATATGTATAGTCTGAAATTATGATGAATTGGAAAGGAAGAGTGAGAGTACACAAAATACATCCAAGAAAATTGGCAGAGTCACTTGTAATGTGTCTGAGCATCTTAAAGGAAATTTAAAAATTCATTGCACATGTGTCCATTCTAGTCTGCATCAGGAATGGGAGGAGAGCAAATTTATTATCAGAGCCATCACTTAGGAGAAAAATTCAGTGAAGAATGGCATCATGAGCATGTTAAACAAGGTGAGTTTTGCTACTTTTAGCTGTAATACTGCAGGTGATCTTGAAGGGCAAAGCATGTGAAAGTCTGGTACCTCAAAGTCTTAAGGCAGTGAATGGAACTGGGTTGATAGATTCCCTTTGTCTTAGTTTTAGTGTTGATACCAGTGAAAAGCATTTGCTAATTACCTCTAGATAAATTATTAAATGCACACATCCATGAACCATTTTCTTCTGCAGAGCAGCTAATAAATATTATCCAGACTTTCATCTTTCTAACTTTTTGTATCTTAAAACCCCATGATATTTAAGGGTCTTCTGCATGATCTGTTCTGAAAATGTGACCTACTAGGGTATGCAAAATAGAATTTTCTAATGAAAAGCTTAAAGTGAGAAGTTTAATTCGAAATGTGAAGCAATGTTCTCTACTCAACAAATAGAAAATAGTGTATAATATTCCTTTTGTTGTCTTTGAATTCAAGTAATGTCAAAACAAAAAGTAATATAAAAATTCCACCCTATCCAGCTTTATGTGATAACTTTACTGTGTCTCTAGAGAAACTTTTGTTCAAATACCAGAATATATTTTCTATGTTAATCTTTACACTTTTGAGGATTTTAAACCTTTTCCTCCTCTCATGACTCGCCAACAGAATATAATTTTTGAAATTTATGATCTTTATTTACAAAGATTTCCTTTCCTCCTGGGAAATAGCCCCACCATACTCTCATTGAAACACAGTTCTGAATCCATTAATTAACACTTTTTCTACTAGATCCAACAACTATTGATTTAAATCTCCCAAGCCAGAAATTTTAACCTATAGTGATGTTGTCTGATGATAATTGGTCAACACTGTTCTGTCAATTACACAAAAAATATCTTGACTTTTCTAGGATCTCTGGATATTTGTAGTATGTTAGAAGATAAATCAGAAACAGTACCAACAGGAGAGCTGCCAATATATGTAAACACACAGCATATAAATAGAGAAGATCTATTGGTACTTCAGGCAGATGCAGAAAGTACCTTCATTGGAACAGCAGAGGATGCTGAAGCAGACAGCCCAGGAAAAGATCTGTTTGACATGAGTGAGTTCCCTCCCTATTCACTTTCCTTCTAATAAGTGACCAAATATGTTGATGCATTAGTTCTGTATTAAAAAAAAAAATCATTTTTCAGTTTTCTAAATTTAGTGTTCCTGGTGTAATTATGGTGAATTTTAATATCCAGTGTGGTTTCATATTGGACTGAACTAAAATAAGAGTTGCTGAAGACTTGGAGCTAGTCTGTATAACATCTGTGTTAAGGTTAGTTGGAGTCCATGTTATCCTTAGCATCACAGTAATTATGTCAGAAGAAAAATTAATCAGGAAACTTGCCATACAGGAAGGTAAAGGAGGGTAAAGGCATGGATGGGTGGAGAATAGTCTTCAGCCTGTCCTGTGAGTATGTCATGAGGAAGTCAATGCATATATTAAAATCTTTGTGCTACAAGGAATCTAGCATGGAAATTAAAGTTCTGAGTTGCCTCTTACTCTAGGTAGGCCTACTGTCCTATCTCTTCCAGCTTCAAAGCAGCTTTTCCTAGATCAGAATCATCACCCTAGCTGCAAAACCACAGCTTAAGCATGAGCCATATTTTGGTATTGGTGCTACTAATACACATTGTTTTCAGCCTTGAGAAGATACATAAAGTGAAGAAATGGTGAAAGCATTTGATGCACAGAAAGTTTTCTTGTGTTTTTTTTCTCTTTTTACCTCAAATAAATTGCTTATTCATGCTTTATTTAATCCAATTCATATAATTAAAAGGAAGTGAGACAAAGCAGTAGGTGCTTAAAAAATTATTTGTAAAATAAAGTATCAACATTTCTGTTATCTTAGTATAGGAAAAAAACATTTTAATGGCGTGTTTTTGCTGAGATATGACTCTATTTCCACAGCTTAGTGAGATGTTCAATTGAAAGAAAGAAAGGAGGGAAGAAAGTTGAGATAATATCTATCTGTGAATATAGATATTAAAGGAGAAAAATCTGCTATTTGGAATCAGGGATGTTAACTGTTATCAGCCTTTGGAATATCAGAGAAAAGTAGTATTAGAAAATGTGCCAATTAGCCCTAAGATAGTGGTCTGTTGAGATAAACATATGTTGGACTTTGTGCAGACTGTGGTATAGTGAAGACATTTAGAAGTTATTTTTAATAGCTAGCTGAGATATCAAAAAAAGGTGACAGCACAACATATTGCCTATTTCTTTGACCTAAATTAGCCTCTCTGTGGCCCCATGCAAACAGGGATTTGTACTCCTTGCATCAGAACAATCTGTTTAGAGTTGGTGTATCGCTTCACTGTGCTGCTCTCCAGATACCCTTTTGTGAGCCTAGGGGCACAGAACATTATTTCTTTTTGATATGTACTGGTGGGCCAGATGAAGATCTAGCTGGAGGAAATAGCTTCCAAGAGGTCAGTACAACATGTAACGAGGCACCCTGTGCACCCTCATTGCTATTTCTGTAAGGCTGTTGGGATTCATTATGACGCTTCTTTCCACTCAACTCTACAATTGCACTGAGCTCAGGACTTAGCTGAGGTTTAAAATGTGCTTCTCCAAGGGTGATTTTAACTAAGCAAAGGGTGTTAAATTTGTAAACCTGTGTCTGTTTTATGAAGTTCTCTTCCTAGACGAAGGGTAGGGAGTAGGCTGAGTGGTGAGAGTGAATGTTCCTTACTAGACATAGCCTTGGGCTGGAGACTCAGTAATGGATAATTTTTAAATGAATAAGTTGTTTGAACAGAGACCAGATATGAGTATAATGACATTAGGTACCCCTATTATGCAATTTATTTGAAATTAAACTGTCTGACATACCTAGAAAGACTGAAGAAAAGATTTGCCTGGTACCAGATCATATAAATACAGCTGTTGACAATAGCCACTACTGAAATAAACCAGTACCTTTCAAAGATCCTACCAAGGTTCAGCCTGATTTTAATCAGTATTGTTCTGTGCATAACATACATTTTAAACACATTACACTCCTCAGTCTTAATATATTATATAAATCAGTAAGTCTATTAGTGTATCTTCCCTTATTTTTTTTCATAAAAAGAAGTAGTTGTAATGAAAAATAAATCTAGTTTAAAATGATCAGAAAATCACTGTTTGGCTACATGACTTACCTCTGAATGATCCTGCTCTTGTTTCTATTTTCATAACAAGAACCATTTGAAGATGCTCTCAAGAATCAAACATCCGAGGCTCTGCTGAAGAAATCCACCTCCATGGGATGCACCAGTCCTCCTTTATCCAGAGTAGCTGTGCAGACTGAAGCTGAAGACCTGAGTACAGAGCCATGGTATCAAGGAGAAATGAGCAGGAAAGAAGCAGAACAGCTATTAAAGAAATGTGGAGATTTCCTTGTGAGGAAAAGTACCACGAATCCTGGTTCCTATGTGCTGACAGGCATGCACAAAGGACAAGCCAAGCATCTTCTTTTGGTTGACCCAGAAGGAACTGTAAGCACTGACTCCTCACTAATAGAGGAGGTTTCTGACTCTACTCATTTTCTCTAGATGCCTTTAATCTTCTTTACAGCTTATTCACAACTTATCATAAGCACCACCTCATATCTCAGATGTGCCATCACATCTCTAATTCTTTCCCTGATGCCTAGCTGAAGACCTAGCACATGATTTCTGCACATTGCAGGGAGCCTTAGGGACCTGATTCCCAAGCAAGTTCACACTTTGACCGCTGTTGTGCAGTCTTGGTCAAAAGTGCAGCTAAGCCACTTCAGCATTCTTGCTAAAGGAAGGAGGTATGGCTAGCCTGCTTGGCATCTCTGTTACCTGGGATATGGACCAGGCCCTCAGTGTTTTCCTGCCCAGGAGAGAATTGGGGTAAGCCTGTTCCATTTCTTTGCTGCACAAAGACTCCCTCAGCTGATGAAGGGACCTTCCTCACAGCAGGGTGGAGGGGGCAAGGGAGCCCCAGTTTTCTGTAGCTGTCCTGTCCTGCTTCTATGGAGGCATAAGCTTTTCAGAGAGATCGAAATAATTTTCATTAGTTTTATTCTTAGCTCCTGGTAGCTGCAAGTAGGCAACTCCTTTCCTCTGTAAAGGACAACTTTAGATAACCAGCCAAGGTAAGTAAGAAGCTCCCATAAAGGAGCTGGCCTGTTAGCATCTGAGCTGAGAAAGCTCTGGCAGAATTACGCCAGTCCTGGAGTGGTGAGGAGCGTCCATGGTACTTGTTGCAATTAGTTACGTTTGCCACATGAGGCCAGTCAAAGAATGATTTTGCACTTTTGAGGTGCCAGATGCCTAGTCCTGGCTTTGATGGGTACACCAGCCCAGGGGAGTGGCTTTATGCCTCTTGAGGGGCAGCCTCCTTTGCTAAAATTTGCCAGTAGTTTTGTGACTCCTGCAACAAGGTAGGCTAATTTTCTTTTCCTCATGAGCCCACAAATAACTGTGACAGGCTACTGCATGGGAAACACTGCTGTGTGACCTGGCAAGTGCAGGAATGCTGTGTCCCACTGGCAGCTCTGCTGCAGTGCTGACTGGCATGGCATACGCAGGTCCTGTGATGACTTCCAGGGCATTTTTTTTTTCCTGTACAGGCTGGAGGGGCTCCCCCATCTTTGCTGCTCTGCCTCTAGTGCATCTCTAATTTGCTGTCCTCCTTGGTTAGGAACCTGCTTGTTATCTGCACCTATCCTTCCCTCAGCCTGCTTGTATCATCATGGCCCAAATGGCTCTGAGATGCCTGGCTCAGGAGGCACTGTTCCAGAACAATGATTTTATGCAACTGTGGTTAGTTACAGACAGCTGTGCTGTCTGTATGATTTGTGGGATCTTGACACAGCTTCTGAGCAGCCCTATTTGCAACTTGTCAAAGTAGAGAACCATCAATAAAATGCCAGTGTGTGGCCAGCCACCATAGTGTGCCAGTGGCTTGCATTTCATCTGTATGGTCTCAGCGGGATTGTTCTTGAAGACTGATTCACACAAATGTTGCCTGAAAATTAATTTCACACACAGTACCCAGTGACACGTAACAGGTCTTAAGGGTGTGTTCTCAGAGCAGAGTTAACTGTCCAGTTGCTTCTGCTCTCATCCAGCTAACAAAAAAGTAAAAAAAGGAAAAAGAAATCGCTCGTTCAGATAATGGATACTTAAAAGGGAGGACCTCAGGATTTTTCTGCATTTAGAATTAGACCCCTGGTGATGGTAGAGTGTCTAACTTACGGTAAGAAAATCTCAGAATGCAGATAGGTAAAGTTAGTGATTTTTTAAAGCTATCTTTTCATTTTGAACATACAGTTTAATTTTAGAGTAGTGACAAAGCAGAATGCTTCAAAAATTGGAAGAGTCTCTTGGTTTCCTTCAGAAATATAACTACATGTAGGCTGACCGGAAAGCATCACAGTTTTTTATCCTGTGACATACTGTGTTAAGCTTCTAAGAATTTTTACAGAACTTAATGTTGAAAGTGAATTATTTCAGAAGTGTCCACCACAGCATAAGATGACTTTGGAAAGTTTTAACACAAGTTGTTTTCCCTTCCTGAGACTAGATTGAGGAAAATAGATGACATTTCTTAGTCACAAGTGTTTGCTTGAGGCAGTGTAAAGCCAGCCCTATACAAAATTCTAGTGCAACAGGCTTGCTTGGGGTGGATCTATGCTCTGCCTGTAGCACTTGTATGCCTAACTCATTCAAAACTTAGGAAGGAAATGTTTTGTGAACATGTGGCTAAATAATTAAAGATTGCTTTGTAATATAGATTAGGTTTTGGATTGTCATAATTTTGACTGTTTTGTCCTGCAATATCAGTTTCCTCCTATCATGGGTGGAATATTGCATACCAGCAGGATGCTGCTACAGAGAGCTGGCATGTGGGCTAAAAAAAATACTTTTCCTACCCTGAAGTGTTTCAGTTCTGAAGGCACAAGGATGTATTGTGCAGCACAGGACAAATATGGTGCTAAGCACATATGGTGGATGGATTACTTTCTAGGAAGGTAATTTTTGAGTAGTGGAAGAAGAAAAGCACAAAATATGCTGAGGTGTACAGAGAAGCTGTTTTCTGACATATCAGGCATGATAGGTTTTTTTGCACCTTTTTAAAAGGTGCAAACACCTCAAAGAAGTAGGTGATCCCTTGAAGAAGAAAAGTCTGACTTACAGTGAAACAAAATCATGAAAAGACATTTTCAAGCAGGCCTATTCAGAAAGAGTCATAAGAGTAGGCTGGTCCATGGAATTGCATGCAAAATATGCATTTGGTGAAAGTAGGGGGAGTGAGAGAGAAAACAGAAACCATACTGGATAAGCGCTAAATTTCCACCAATTTTGATGGAAGAGGGACCAGTTTCTAAAATATGATTTTGTCATTTTATTCTTAGACAGTTTTAGTGTTAAGGGGAAAACTATTTTACTCTTTAATCTATCTTCTTGCATCCTTTTTTTGAAGGTTCGTACAAAAGATCGTGTCTTTGACAGCATAAGTCATCTCATCAACTATCACCTTGAGAATAATTTGCCTATTGTTTCTTCAGTGAGTGAACTCTGCCTGCAACAGCCTGCTGAGAGAAAACACTGACTCCAGATAACTCTTTTAGTAATTGCAATTTGAAAGCTACAACTGGTAGAAATTGTAGCTCTGAAAAGAAAATGTACATTAAAATGTCCACATATTCACATACATTTCACAAGTATGTTTTATTTAAGTTTAAGAAGCCCCATTTCATATGGTCCACTTGAACATTTTCAATGCTTTATGTGACATGAAATCACATCATAAGCCTTTCTTAAAAGTAATTTCAACAAAATTGTTCAGATTCTCTAATGTGAATGTTGATAGTGTATATACACATTATATATAAATACAGTATATATTTATATTTTTCAAGTCTGTTTGTTGACAGTATAAAACTATCTTCTGTGCCATGTGTTTTTACCAAAAGAAAAATGACAAGTGTGATTGTTCAGATAAAAAAAAAATAGAATTCAGCAATCTCAATTTCTTGAGAAATTTAATACTACAAATCTTATTTCTGATTTTACCTAAGAAGCACAACTATGGGGATTACAGATGGATTATGACAGTTAATCATAGAAGGAATCTGAATTCAGTAACTAGTATTACAACTCAGAATTTAGCATAAAATGTTTTTTAAAAGCATTATTCACTGTCACTGATATCAAAAGGATTTTATCTTTCTGATGTCAAGTTTGAATTCTTATATGATGCTATTCAAAACATTTGTATCTTACTTTAGCAATGACTTGGTGTGATCTCTATGTGTACAAGGTGTGTACTTTGATTTTTCTAATGATATTGTAACAGTATATTGTAACTTCAATTTTTTAATTTCAGTGCTAAGGTTATTTATAAGTAGTTCTCTGCTTATGGTGAAGATCTAGGTGTCCTTGAACTAACAGTCTCAAACGAGATGTTGCATACTGATTAGACAAGTTCAAATAACTTGTGTTTAATAGGCTTAATACAAGATGAACATGACTGTTCAAAGACAAAGATTTTTCAAAGATCTGAAAAATCTTTTCTTTTGGTAAGCAGTGAAAACTTTCTGAACTCAGTGGTCAGTTTTGTAAATGATGTCACTTGCATTTACTTGCCAAAGCATAACTTCATTTTGGCCTTCAGCAAGTGATAGGTATTGGAAATATACTGTTTTTCTCTAAACATCAAGTTTAAAAAATACACACACAATAAAGACACATTTCTGGCAGCAATGCCCTTGACTTTTGGTACTGGGAAATGCTTTAAGGGATGTTTGTACTGTTCACATTGAAACATTATATAAAGTTATTTTCCCATTCTATGAATCTTATTATGAGTCAAATTCAATAGACACAGTTCCTGTAAATGCAATGCTTGTGCCAGAGTCAAGATTTAGCCTTCAGCAATTCAAGATCTTCTCTAGCAGCAGTCTCTCAAATCAAATCTTCAGACTTGATTCACAAAAACTCAACAGGGTAAGTCTAGGTTAAGTACCTGCCTACCCTGCAGTATACTTAAAGTTACATTTGGTTCTAAGAATTTGCTAAGTTTAAAAATTTGTCAAACCATAATGAAACTAACTGAAGAATTCACTTAGAATGTATTCAGCAGGACTATCATGTTAAAATTCTGAAATAACTTTCTTGTGCCCTCTGCTTTTAAATATGGTGAAGTTGCAACTTGAAAGTTTGATTTTGAGTAATCTCAAAACTGAAAATTATTGACACTTAAGACTAATCATGCACCTCTGTAAAAATACACTTGATTCTGTAATTCTGACATCCAGAAGCCAAACAAAGACATTAGTGAACCAAATGCTCGTGATTAATTTTACTAAAGATAGTTATTATTTGATATTTCTAGGTCTGAATGAGAGCTGAGAGCTAGGGAGAGCAATTAAATGCTAAATTCAACCCAGATCAGTATGGCACTGAGTTTAGTAGAATTCTTCAAATTTTGTTTTACTAGACTGGGAGTAGCAAGGAAATAGGAACAGATCTTATATGCCAAAGTAGTATCCACCAAAATTACTTTGTCTGAGAGTCTCACAAAATGACTTACCCATATCTCACCATACTCCAGTTTAAATTATCTCAGCTGCCATTTCTTTTTTCATATATAATGATTGTTATTCCATGCTCTAACCTTCCTGTAGCCATGTCCTGGAAAGTTTTCACTGTGATATCACGACCTATAGGACAAGGTGTCTTTTTATCTTTGTATATTGCATATAATTTCAGTAAAAGTCTGGTGCATAACCCTCTTACATGTCTTCAAGAAGCCCACCTGCTCGCAATGTCCATTCTGGATTCCTAAATATCCTGGAAAAATTTGACAAGATTTGGGTGTATGGATTTAAGGCACTAAACATACACTGAAATAGATATCTTAATTTTTTTTTACCACTGTCCTGTCACTTTAATGACTTAGCAGCCACTTAGCTGCATGTTTTGGAAATTAAAGCTGATGCCAAGGAGACACAAAATGAAACTGCTTCAGAGAAATACTGAATTTCCCAGACTATATTTCACATATTGTGCCTCCAGGGGAACGTGGCTATTTTGAGCTGCTCTGTCAGCATAGCCAATTTGCCCAGCTCAGCATATCCACGATGATGTAAAGCTTACATACATCTTGTCTAGATGCAATGTGGTCCAAGACAGCAGTAGCACCATTGCACTGCAACACGATGAGCCAGCAGGTCCTGCCTGGCCATACGTGGGGATACAGAGGCTTTTCTACATCACTGGGAGCCACACAGTCTCACGGTTGTCCAGAAAGGAAGAGCATGTGTGCCACTCAGTACTCCATTTTTGGATCCAGCCATGTTTGGTAGATTTGAAATCTACCACAAAGGTAGGTAGAAATCTCTGGTAGATTTGGCTTTCTCCTTTATGAAAAGGGCAAATGAATTGTAAAGCTATTTGGATAGCAGCTCCAAACCAGTTGTCATTAGACCAACTTTAAACTGATTTTAACAAGAACTAATTGAGCCTGCTAGAATGGCTGGGCTCACTTCTGTAAGGAGCCAACACTGCCACAAATTTAAGAGAAGCAGAAGTAATAAGATAAATTTAAATACTGAGAAGTTAGCCGAAAACCTGACAACTGACAGCATAATAATGTGAGTAGTTTGATGTTCACCTTTGGTTAGAGTACCTCACCTTTTTAATTAATTTTTTATACAATCTCAAGGACTAGACATCTCCTTGTGGTAAGGACCATGACTTCAAGAAGTGGGATTTTACTGAATGAAAAACATTTCTCGACTCAAGAGAAATCACTGAGATTAGGTGATATTATAGTATCTTTTGATGTCTTTTCAGCGAATAGCTGAGAAGTCAGAACTGGAACTCTAAATATCATGCCAGACTGTCTACATTGGTTTTGAGTCCTATCTGATTAACAGTTTTGATTTGAGTCTGTTGCAACTATAGGAATGAATGACAATGAAAACACATTCAATGCCTTTAAACAAAGAACATGTATATGTGAACCAGATAATTTTGATATTTTGATTTCTTTTTTTTTTTTTTTTGCAGATCTAGATTAATTATTAAGTTAATAAAATTAATCCAGTGTTGCTGACAGTGATAGATTGCACATCTAGGTACAATCATGTTCCCAAACTTTTCATTATTTCAGATGCTTCAGAAGCAACAAAACCTGAAAATATTGTTTGAAAAATGAATTACCTTCTGACAAATGGGAGTTTTTTCAGAGTGAGAAGTTGCAGCTTCCCTTTCCTTAATGCAAGAAGAGGATGTTCAAACTTACCATACCTGGCTGTTCACCATATGAGAGGATGGTATTTCCATGGCTTAATGCCTGCCTTTTTGCCCAGCTATACAGTTGTTTCACTCCACTTAATTTCCTACAGGGTTCACAATGGGAGGTAACATTGGTCCTGCCAAAACCTGTCTGCCAGACATTCAATAAACGCTTGAACAAAGGACATAGTCCTGGGACCAAGACTTCAGTGCAAAATGTGCAAATGGAACTAAATGTTTAACAGTCTGGTAAATGTCACCTGCCGGCAGAAGGTTTTCTATAGGCTATATTCATACTTTTTCCACACTGTGGAATAATATACTCACTTTTCTTATCACCATGGTCCCCAGGCATCATATGCAGTAAGATGAGGAGAATTTAAATAAAAATATATTGTAGTGTGATTGCTGCTGGAACATAGATACCAGATATAATGTATTAATAATAGAATTGAGGCATATTTAGACATTTGTCAGTAGATTTGATAACCAGCGAAGTTTTGCACCGTCTAGGAAATTTGCAGTTATCGGAGGGATATTTGGAACTTGTGAATACTAGAGAAAAGATTACAAATCCTGCTTTCAAAGCTGTTTTTAGCTTCCAATATCTATCCAAAGGAAGTGGTAAAACCAAGACTTTATATTAAGTAAACCATAATCCATATTTGCATAAATGAAGTCTAAGCTGAAGTAAGAGACATACTTCCCTTTTTATCTGCCTGACAGTTTCAAAATATGTCTGCATAAAGTCGAAATTCAGACATACTTTAGTGTACTGTCAAAACTGCTTTGACTTACATGGTCTTTTTTGCTCAAGCTGAGGTTTGCACTCTTCACACTTTTATGTGTGTTCAAAGCTGTCAAAATAGCAGGTATATTTCCACTTAATGCTCTGTGATCAGCTAGACTTACTTTACTCACTTACAGACAGTGTGTGTGGACCTTGCTCATATCTGCATTGTTTGCAGCTGGAATGAGGGCTGGCCCGTGGAAAAGACAACATGGACATACAATTTGCCTGCAGTTAACCTGAGGCTTGGATAGAGAGTGAAAAGCCGTCTTGAGAGAGAAAACTTCAGGGATAAGAAATGTGAAGCCTGGAAACATGAGCCAGTAGGCATTTAAACCACTAATGAGAATAGAGAGTTGTTGCCAAATTATAAACATGCTAATTGGTTGATAGAGTTAAAGCAGAACCTCTGGGGATACAAAGCCTACTGCTCATCTCTTATTGAGACGTTTATGTTCACAAGCCCTGATCTGTTCCTTTGCACACTCCAATGTAAACATCTCCTAAGGCTTCCAGGGAGAAAATACAGGGCTTTTTTTTTTTTTTTTTTTTTTTTTTGTCTCAGTAATGGGGATAAGATTTTGGAGCTAAACATTTCTAGCAAAAGCACTGTACAAAGCACCATGTTTCAACCTTGTTTGACAACACAACAGGTCATGGAAACCAAAGGAAAACAGAAGCTAGAACTACGTGACTCATTCTGCTACACCACTGCATGAGACAGTGCAGATGACTCAGAAAACAAAGGTAGCCTCAGAATTTGAGATTAAGATGCAGATTTACACTTTATGTAGTTACCATGAAGATCAAATAAAGTCCAGGTCAATGAAAGCTTTTTCCAGCAGTCCTCCTTTTTCTTCCATGACGAACAAGACACCAAACACACCCAGGTATACATTAATTCAAAACTAAGTGAAATTTTCTATGAAGTGAAGAATGTGAAGATTATTATTAGTATATATATGTGTCCTTTTTGTCTGGATTGCTGTGATAACTGCTTCTTAGTAAAGTCCTGCAGAGTTAAAACTTGAAAGAAGTTAGGTTTCTTTTTTTGAGGTAAATGTTTTTCTTTGCATTGTGTGGGCAGCAACAACAAAACTAAAAAGTGACTATTTTGCTGTAAAAAGAAGTTTTATTGTACAATTGTTATTTAATAATATTTATTACTTTTAGAAACATTTTTAACTGAGAATTGCAGGAAAAATAATGTATGTGGAAATATTGTGATAATTTATATTCCTAACCACTTTTGTGAATCTCAAGTCTTTGCCTCTCTGCTGACTGTGATATTTTAGCTATAGAGACAAATTTTGTCTCTGAGGAAGTCCTTGAGCAATGTAGTTTGGAATATAAGTGTCATGCAACTGTTTTCTGATTATTCAGTTTGTATATGTTTAACCAAAGTAATAAAACAGTGAGCACTATTACTAGATTGAAATGCATGTAAAGTGGGCTTGAGTCTGTTCTCTTATGCTCAGGTTCCTTAATGAAGTTTATTTGCTGGGTTTGGGATTGGGCTTGGGAGCCCAGTCTGTGTCTTGTGCCCCCCAGCCTGAAGGGAGGCACGTTTTGTGGCAGAATGCATGCCATTCCAAAAGGTTCACCTGGATACTGAATATTAGTAAGTCAATCAATTGTTTAACCCAGTAGAATCAGAGATGAAAAATGTCAGAGGACCAAATGGCACATGGGGACCTGGACCTCAACTACACTGACCTTACACCACCACAGGAGCTCCATGTTCTTTGACGGAGACAGCACACACATTTGTTTCAACAAATACTACTTTTGTGAAAGCATGAAAGGGTTAATAAGGCCCTCCTTCTGAGCCAGATGATGCCCTGTCCTGGAAAGGCAGCTTTCCTGCTTGGCACACTGAATAGATGAGAATAGAAAAGGGTAGTCCACTCCATGATATTTCCATGGAGAATGACTGCAAGGACAAGAACAGCCACATTCACAGAATCATGTACGGTGGAGAGGGCAGTGTCTCCATGCCAGCAGGAAGCACAGGTCTGCTGAGCTCTAACCCTAACCCTAGTCCTCTTCCTCCACTGAACATGTCTTCCTTCCCTTTTAACCACTTGGACAAAAGCTGGGCCTAAGCAGGCCCTAGGAAGTTACACTGCTCTTGGGGAGAAGAAATGCAACTCTGAATGCATCAGGGGCATCTATAAACTCTGCATGTCTCTGCACAGTGCCTCCAGCCTTCTTCAGGTCCTGGGCCACAGGATAACATCAGAAACTCGTAATCATTGCTGGTGTACCTGGCCCCCATGAGTCTGGCCATGTGAAGGGAGTTTCTCCATGACTAGCATGGCTAAGGTTCCCAGCTCCTGCTGGGAGTGTCCTTACTTGTGTTGGCAGGTGATATGGCACCTGCAGGTGAACACCAGCACATCTCTGCTCAGAAGGAGCTGCCTGCCTGCTTTTAGGACCCATGCTTTTTGGTGCCTGGCACTTTTGCACAGGTGTGTTTTCCATTTCTTTACTAGAGCAGTTGGAAACAAGCCTTGAAGGCAGCGCAAAGCTTCACTACAGCTGCTTCTTGCAAAATGTCTCTTTCCAGGGAGCAGCTGCGCCTGGCGTAAATGGAGCAGACAGCCCTCCAAGCAGATAGGCCAATGGACTGACCCTACTCCCAGAAAGCAGGGACAAAGCCTTCCTCCAGCTCTGGGGATGGCAGATGCAGAGCCTGCCACCCTCAGCTCCATAACATTCACAGATTCATGTCATATCCTGAGGTGGAAGGGATCCATCAGGATCATTGTGTCCAACTCCTGGCAATACACAATACACCTCAATAATCACACGATGTGCCTGAGAGTCCAAATGTTTCTTCAACTCTGTCAGGCTTGGTGCTGTGACCCCTTCCATAGGGAGCCTGTTCTAGTGCCCAACCACTCTCTGGGTGAAAAGCCTTTCCCTAATATCCAACTGAAACTTCCCCTGACTCAGCTTCATGCTGTTTCCTCAAGGTCTGTCACTGGTCATGACCGTGAAGAGGGCCCCTCCCCTCATGAGGATGCCGTAGACCACAATGAGGTCTTCCCTCAGACTCCTCCAAGCTGAACAGATATGACTCAACTGCTCCTCACACAGCTTCCCCTCCAAACACTTCACCATCTTCATGGCCTTCTACTGGATATTCTCCAATAGTTTCATATCTTTTTTATATTGCAGCGCCCAAACCATCCCCCTGCACATGAAGTGAGGCTGCCCCAGAGCAGAGCAGAGCAGGACGATCCCCTCCACTGCCTGTCTGGCAATGCTGTGCCTGATGCACCCCAGGACAGGGCTGGGCCTCCTGGATGCCAAGGCACTGGTGACTTGTGTTCCACTTGTCATCTAGCAGGATCCTGAAGTCTATTTTCTATAGCTCTTTGAGGATTCTTGAATAAGTCCCAGTCAGGTCCCATAGATTTGCAGGGATCCAGCTGAAGCACCAGGTCAACTGGGAGTTATCATTCTTGCAGTTATGGTGCTGGAAGCTCAGGGCACAGAGCCTCCCTTGGTTTGTTATCCATGCTGAACATAAGCAAAAAATGCATTAAACACCTCTGCCTTGTCCATGCCCCATTTGTGAGGTGAACTATCCTCACCGGTAATGGGCTGATTTTATTTCTAAGATGCCTTTTGTCACTGAAATTGAAGTCACTCTTTTTATTGTTCCCTACATTTCTGGTAGCTTCATCTCCAATTGATGTTTAACGACATGAATTTTCTCCCTACACTGGCAAACAGTATCTCAGTATTCTCCCCATGCCACCTGACCTTGCTTCCACTGGGCACACACCTTCAATTTTAGTCTCATTTCCAAGAGAAGATCCCTGTTTAATCAAGCCAGCCTTCTTACTCTGGAGTACGGCCTTCAGGGACAACACCCAGAGTTTAAACGTTTTCCATAGAAGACCAAAACCTTTTCAAAATTCCTTGAAAAATGACTGCTACTCGACACCTTTAGTTTAAAGGTTTGAGATTTTTTTTTTATTATAAGTTTTCAAAATGTTTCTGGTACCTAATGATTTGAAAACATTCTCTAAGACTGTTGGCAATAAAAGAGTCTTGGAAAGCAGATTGTGAAAACCTTTATTTTCTCTATAGGTGACTGGATTTGCATTTATTTAATAATCCATACTCAAAACAAATATTCCAATTCATTAAATAATATGAATGAAAGACTTTGTAGCCTTTGCTCCATGTAAAACCAATTGGAAAGGAAAACCAAATTTGGTTTCCAGGATGCTCAAATCAGCCTGGATGATAAAAGGTTAGATTCCGGGATGTCTTTGAAGGAATCTTCTAATATTTTAGGGTGAAAGAACATATTCTCCATCTTTTTCCAGCTTCAAGAATATGTCATCTTCCTAGCTGTTTAAGGTCTACTGCTGTTAAACTCTTGACTTGTCCTAATTTAAATTCTGCTCTGAAATTGCTTCCACAATCTATGCCTTATCTAATACTTCCCAATGGGATGGACTCACTGAAGATTGTATTGACAATAGTTTTTTTCTCCAGTCATAAGTCCTTTGTAAATTGTATTAGCAATGTTACATGTGAAGACATGAATCTTAGAAACCTGCTTCAAGTACAGCAGGGTAGTGAACTAACAAAATATCCCCACAGCTCCAAAATAAGAGAAGGAAATCAAAGTAGAATGACAGGGTTTTGTACTAACAAGCAATCACATGGCCTTTAACAGTGGAGTTCTTTGCATTATTTGTACCTTGCACCAATACTGACAATAGCTAAGGCTAGAATGCAGATGTTAAAACTCACTTTTATGTACAACTTCTTGGACTTTGGCCATCAAAAATTTTTATTTTTCACCTGTATAGCAAGAATCATGTAACATCCTTGACATGAGGGTTGGTGTGGGTTCAGCAACCATGTTTTCTCAAACCATTGTGTTCCTAAGGCCTATCTGCTCTACAATAGTAAGGAAGCTGCCACATTCCACCACTTTGGCAACTAACACAAGTACACAAATATTTGAATTTGCAGTTTTAAAAGCCTCAACCTCAGGGGAGATCTTCCACAGTGCAGCCAAATAGCAATGTAAAATCTAAAAACCTAATCAAGCCATGGCAATGTAATGTCACCAGTTCCATTTCTCACAAAGCTACAGAGCCTGCAGCCTCATACCTACAATCCATACAGTTATATCATGCTTACCTTGGTTTAGCTTTTTCTTCTTCTCTAAGTGCACTGCTTTTCAACATTTTTGGTAGAAATTATTTCTATTTACTACTTTCTTTCACAGTTATTTCATTCAAATACAATTCTTCTTTGTTCTTATACACTTTTCTACATTTACAGACTATTAATTTGTAAAAGATAATCACAATGCAAACCTCTACATTTTAAAGGTTTTTGCTACATACAATACACAACTTATACACTATACATACTTGAGAAAAGTCTAATGCTGCTGCTTTAAATGATTAAGACCAGAGTAAAGCTAAGGATAAGCTCTTTCAGTCTGTGTATTAAAAAAGCCTCAACTACTTCTGATTGTGCATAAGGCAAAGTGTATTTTGAGACATTAAGCACAAATCTTTGAAAGAGCCCAATGAAGTTAGATGTATACATTCTTACTGACACAATGGGAACTTGTCTCAGAATTTCCCACCAAACTCCACTGAAGCCTCCAGCCATAAAGTACAATTGATGGAAGTACCACAGGCCACTTCCATGGGAACCTGAAACCAGAAGTCTGTGAAGTCTTTACTGCTCCAGGACTCAGGAAACAGCTTTGACACTCAACATCAACCTGTACTCAGGCTGGTAAGGCAGTGATGAACCATAAAGCTGTTGTCGGGTTTCTCTGGAATGGGCTTGCAAAAGGTCAGGGCTGGGGCTCCAGGTCTTCCAAACTAAATAAACCTTCCTTCCAGATCCAAGGTAGGGTTGAGTATAAATGGAGATACGCTCTTCAGCATGACCCTGTTGTACCGCATCTTCCCTCTTGTATCTGCAAAAGTGTCCAGAAATGGCAGAAGCATAGGATCCCGCTGACAGAAAATGGGACATTGTCCCACGCACAGAACTTCCCAGGGAGAATTTCTAACACAATCCCACACTGTGGTGGGGCCTGGAAAGAAGGAACTCCACAGGAACCCAGAACTGGTTCACTGCTTTGTGAAATGATACATCTCTGTTTCAGAACTGAAGGATCTCAGCTTAGGTAGTGCATTCACAATGTACACAGCTTTCTATAGGTTGGACATACATTTTTAAATATATTGAAAATAGTAAGCAAAAATATATGCATTGAAACAGCACATACACTTGTTACACATGTATTGAGTGGTCACATTTTAACTACTTTAAATAGCAAATATATACTCTCTCAATGGTTTACTACTGCTTACTCAAAATATTTTGTGAAATGCCACAGTGACAACTGTCATGTTGTCTTTCGCTAAACATGAAAAGTTTG